AAGCAAAATATACAAATAACATTTAAACTGTGTTTCTGATTAAATAAAGCAGAAATTTATGTCATAAATCATGAGTATGTTTTGATTTAAAGGTCAGAAGCTATAGCTTACAAGACTTTTAAAAAAATCACAAACATAACACTTGTAAAATAAATAATTTGATATATACTGATATATTCATTAATGTGTAATATGTTATATTTTTTTAAACAAATTATGAGCTCTAAAAGATATTTAGAATTTTTACAACTTTTGCTTTCGACCATCTACAAATGTTAAATCTTAAAATAAAATGTTAAGGTTACTGCTGCATCTTTCCGGGGAAAAAAATTGCAGCAATTAATATATAGTTTATTTATAGTTATTTTCAAAGCATCAATGTACTGTCATTATAAAAGAACTTCATTGTTGTCTATTTAATTCAACAAATAAGTTCTTGTTAAAAACAAACCAAAATGAAAAATAATTGCTTATAATTTCCACACAGGAGAGGCTTGGTGTTGTTTCCAAACACAATTAAATATATCGGTATCGGTATCGGCATCAACTATCGGCCAAAATTAGTTGAAAAATATTGGCATATCGGATATCGGCAAAAATGCAATATTGTGCATCCCTAATTATAATGTAATTTTACTACAAAAAACAAACAGCAACATTTCTTTTAGATTTAAAAATTTTAGTCATAAATACATTTCAATACATCATTCAAGCATAATTTTCCTAAGAAAAACCAAATGGCAAAGTTTCTGGAATGTTACGTTTGGGTTTATAATAACAATCTGCACATTTAAATTAAATGTTAAAAGAGTGAAAATGCATTTGTTTATAGGTTTGATGTTGTAAAGTTGCTAAACATTTTGCTCATAGATACATTTCAAAACATGATCCTGAAGTAAATTTACTACAAACAAAAAAAAACCCCGGCAATGTTTCTGAAACATTTTGTTTGGATTTAAAACAACATAATTTGTACATTTAAATGAAACGTTAAGTGTACCAAAGAAAAAATAAACAGATTTGTTTATAGATCTGATGTTGTATAAATGTTCAGAAAACATTGCAAAGCATATGCGAAAAAATGTCATAACTTTTCTGCAACATTACGAAAAGTATTACGTTAAAACAGCGTCAAGCATTAAAGTAGTTTAGGATAAAAACATTATCACAACCTGTTTACAACATAGTTATATGTTGTACCAATCATTAGCCATGCCCAGTTGGGTGTGGTCACATGATTATATAATTAAAACCCAATTATTTAGGGAGGTTTACACACTAGCATTTATATAAATCTGGTCCAATGAAACACGTACAGTGTCATCTTCACACATAGATTTGAGGCCATCGCTAAGTTGTTCATTAAGAGCCTTGATTTCCTCTTCCTGTTAAAACTCTCCAGGTGGTGACAGCCAATCAATGACAGCGATAGCTCTTAAGTCCAGATGTGTCAAAAAACACTTCACACCCAATCAAATTACGGCCGTGGGACGACACGAGAGCGGATTGAGTTCAGCTCGTAGCAGAATCGGTGTCATTTTATATTGTGATCATTGTGAGGTGTTTCAGAATGATTTCAGGTTCAATTTGTGAAAAATGAATTAGTCTATTAAATTTCAGCTCACCATCTGAGCCACACACATGAACGATGCCTCAAATTATCCTGCCGCACAATAGAAATCTGACAAACTCCAATAGACTTACATTAAAGGAGGGACTCAAGCTATATCTAGACACCAGAAGGGTAAGAAAACAACTAGCAACTACCCACAACCCACAACACCCTAGCAAATGAACAGCCACACCTTGGTAATCACCCAAAACATCATACCAACTGCCTAGCAATGCCCTAGTAACTCTACAGAGCACTGTAGATATATCCAGCAACCACCCATAAATCCTTGCTAATTATATAACAATTACTTAGCAACAGCCCTAAACACATTAGAAACCACCTACAGTAGTAATACCTTAGCAACCACCCCTAACACCCTAGAGACTGCATAGCAAATAGCACCAGTACAACAATACAGAACACCCTAGCCAAAGGCGTAGGTTTGATTTTAGCATTGGTGGCGATGTAACAGCAGACAACAGACATTTAATTGTTTAATCAAAATTATTGCTAGGGACAATTTAGTAGTCGCTGGATATTGGTAGGGACATGTCAAAAATACATACTAAAACTCTGCCCTAGCAATCATCAATGTAACCACCCATAAAACCCAAAGTGCATAACTATTCCTTGGCAAAAAAACATAACACCTTGGAAACCACATAGTAATACCCTAGCAACCACTTTTAATGCCCTAACAACTGTACAGCAATGCCCTGACAACTAAGAACCTCGTAGATACATCCTAGCCACAATGTAGCAATTACATAACATCCTAGCAACCACCTATGTAACCACCCATAAAACCAAAACTGCATTGCTATTCCCCTTTTAATACCCTAGCAACTACACAGCAATGATCTGATAACACCCTAGCAATGTCCTAGCCACAACATAGTAATGCCATCCTAGCTATTCTTTGGCACCAAACCACAACACCTGGGAAACCACCTAGTAACAGCAACCACTTTTAACACCCTAACAACCACCCTAATAATCTTCTAGCAACCAATATAACACTCTGCCACATGCATAGCATCACCGATCAATACAAAAGACCCTAGCAACCTCCTATGTAACAATAGTCAAGCAACCAGCATAGAAATTGCATAGCAACACCTTAGCAACGCCTTGGCAACCACAGGTTAATTAGGTGGGAAAAAATACATACCAAATCTCTGCCCTAGCAACCACCTATAAACCCAAAGTGCATAACTATTCATTGGAAACAAACCATATCACCTTGGAAAGCACCTAGTAATACCCTAGCAACCATCTATGTAACAATAGCCAAGCAACCACCATAGAAATTGCATAGCAACATCTTAGCAATGCCCTGGCAACCACAGGATAATTAGGTGGGGGAAATATATCTATTAAAACTCTGCAAGCTGTGTAGCAACCCCTAACAATACAGAAGACCCTAGCAACCACCTATAATAATACTGTAGAACCACAACAGAAATTGCACCCTGGCAGCCAGAGTTCAATTAGGCAGGAAAATCTCAATATTAAAACCTAGTTTCTGGCTGCCAAAAATTATATAAATAACATGACAGAACTGAACATCTAAAACTGTTGTGTTGAGGGAGCACATGCACGCGAGTGTAAGTGGTTGTTCTCCAGAGGTCAGAGATGACATTGTGAAGCTCCTCGAGCCACAGGATTGTTTGCAGGCCACTGGATGAGAGAAACTGAAGATGTAATTTGGGCTTGGAAATCTTCAGTGAGTCTCGGATGGAGCCCGTGGCGAGCAGCAGGGAGCGGGAGCGGGAGCGCGTGCGTGTGTGTGTTTACCCGCCAGGACGCTCATCTTCCCTACCTCTCATCGAGCTAATGGCAGCTGGAATCACACTGCAAGCGCTCGGGGCCCTGAGAGAGAGAATAAACCTGCTGAGAGGAGAGAGAGAGAGACCCTTGCTGTTTCAAACAAGAGGGCAGAGGAGGTGAGCCAAAACACACAGCGAAACCTGTTAATATTCCTCCCGAAGCTCCCCAGGCCTCACGTGTTGTGTCTCTTCATTTGCATTACCAAGAACAATATTTCAGTGGCGGTCACACCGGCCCCATGAGATGGAAAATACACGATTTAGGGTTTTATCATCTGAAACACAGGAGTTCAATTTTATGAGAGAAAGTGAAGTGATGGCAGGAGACCTGTTATATAATATACTACAAACTTAAACACAATCAGTAATCTGCATAATGCATTAAATCCTTGTGGAGAATATCTGCCTTTAGAGGCCCTTCGTAGGCCTAACTTGGGAACAGGAGCCCTCCGTGGGCTAAACTCGGGAACAGGAGCCCACTCTGGCCTGGATTCAGGGACTGGGAAGCGCTTACGAGGAGCTGGCACTAGAGGGTGCTCTGGAGGATCAGGCACAGCAAGGCGCTTTTGAGGAGCTGGCACAGGAGCGAACTCAGGGGCTGGAGCCTACACTGGAGTGAGCTCTGGGTCGGGAGCCGACAATGGAGCAAGCTTTGGGGCTGGAGCCGACCACCTTCTCCTTAGATTCCCCTCTAGGTTCGGGGTGAAAGGCATGGGTTGAGTGAGCCGTGGCCAGCGGGCTTAACATTGGAGTGGCCGGCGGGCTGGTTCTGGCTCAGGCCCAGACACTCACCAGACACCGGTAGATCGCTTCCCTCCAGTATAGTCCCTTGGTGTCTGGGAGGTCCATGGGGCGATGGTAGTTGGCCCCGAGCCAGAACAGAGAATTGATGGTGAAAGGAGAAAGGAGCGTCGATTTCCATGATTGCAGGGAGAAACAAACAGGAAGCAAAAAGACTTTTCAAAAAGAAAACAAAACGGGGAGAAGGGGTGCTGCTTACTTTTCTGTATCGGTCCGGTTTTCTGTCACGGTGTGCCTACGGTGAGGAGCGAGGAACGAGCAGGAGAATCAGGTAACAGTCTTTATTGAAATCACAGGAATCACACGTAGGACACGGGGATCGATGTTCAAAACCGGACAGAGAACTCAAAACAGGAAACATCTTAAATACACAAGACATGAGGAGGGAAAGACGAAACACGAACACCTGGGATTAATAAACATAATAGGAACAGGAAACAGGAAGGACATACCATGGACATTACCTGGAGCACGTGGGGGAGCAAAACACACACGAAACACTGAACAGAGTCTAACAGTACCATTATTAAATTATTGAAAGTTGCTTTATTTTTTTCAGCTTTATATCGTTTCTTTCAACCGTTTTAATGAAAAAACAATGAAAACTGCAAGAACTGTATTGAATTTTCAAAGTTTATTCTTTTTTTTTTTTTTTACATTTCAAATTGTAAAAGCCCTCAAACTACACATATTCAGTGAACTTAGAAATTGAAAAAAAAAAAAGTACTAAAAATATTATATATATATATATTTTCTTTAAAAACAAACCAAAACATGTTTTGGTCACACACGTGTGCTGGAAAGATTCCCAGTTATACTGAAATCTGGGAAAATAGCAGATGATTGGAGGAAACTCTTCAAAGATTTTTGTCACTGCAGGTCAGCTTTTGATTTTGACAGATTTTCTGCTCACACTTTGGTTTCTGCAAAGTAATGTCATATGGATAAAAAGGGGATATTTTGAATTACACCATTTAAAAACAAGCAAACTATTGTATTTATTTTTTTTACATTTTGAAAAACTATTTGAATCCAAATGAAATCTCAAACAGGTTATTCCAACTGACATGGTTACACGAGACTATGAATAAGAGCTGATTATTATGGTCCATGTATAGGCAGCTATTGAAGACTGGATTACACATTTAGTGCTTGATTGAACAATAAATTCTTTAAATATCACGTAGAGATCATTTATTAACGATATGTCTAAGTTCACACTAGCATTCAGAAGTTTGTCATCACCCAGAACTGTAACTGCAGTGATGGCTATTGAAGATGAGGCATTGCATTTTAATGTATTTCAATCATTCTGAATCAATTCCAGCTGTAAAAGTGATTTTCAACATTAGTGAAGCATTGGCTCTATTTAATTCCACCCTACTTGGATTTCTATTAAACAGACATTTTAATGAGAGACATTTTGCATTCACTTGCAAAAATTTGCCCAGAAACTTTAGGTTCAGTCGCAGAAGTTTTGCATTCCTCGAGAAAGTTTGCATTTGTTGATTTAATATAAATGCAATGCAATAAATAGTTAATCTTTTTCTTTACACTTAACAAGAAACTGTGCACTGTGCTCATATTCTGGGTTCATCTGTTTGCTTGTATATAGTATGCATCATCAATAAGGTGTATACTGAATTTAATCTTTTAATATCACTATGTAGTTCATTAAAGGGATAGTTCACCCAAAACATAAGCATAAAAACACTACACCTCACTATTAACAACTTACTCGTTAATCTTGATCACGAATCTTCTGGGTGGTCTTTGCCTTGTGCTCCTCCACACAAAAATACTGGTTCATCTTCCAGTTGTCTGGAGAAACAGGGAGGATATACAACAGGTAGTCAACCAAAATGACTGTTACCAGTGCGGCGGTAAATACAAACCAGTCACATGTGAAACTACTGAAGAAAACTACTGCAAGAGAATTTCAGTGCTGGAAATTAATTTATTCTTTGCTGAAACTTCCGCGTCTCATGGAGAGCGCAGGCCATGGTTGCTTGGCAACGGCAGACGCAACGGGAACGCAAGCTACAGAACGCTTTGGAAAAAAGAAGAAAGCGGCGCAGCCAGTGTTTTCCACGTGCTTTAGGCGTGACATGTGAACGGCCCCTTTTAGAGAGGTGTGCATTTCACCTTAAAATAAATAAAACAATGGAAAATGCAGGCGCCATCTTCTGGCGAGATGTGGCAATTCACTCGGCACAACCCTCACAGTGCATTATGGGTATTCTCTAGCCGCTGAGTACACCCTATAAACACTATACTGCACTATTAACAACTTACTTTTGTTACTAATGATCTCCTCCTCAGTCTTCTGGATGGTCTTTCCCTCGTGCTCCACCACACAAACATACCGGTGCTTCTTCCAGTCGTCTAGATAAATATTGAGGGTAGATGTCTTCTGGAAGGTCCCATCCTCATTTATTAGTGTCTCTCCAAGATCCACATCCTCATCGTGCTGCTGTCCATTTCTTAACCAGGTGATAGTCACTGCTGATGGGTAAAAACCTGTGGCATGACACTCCACTGGAGAGGAGGAATCCTTCTGTAACAGAGACACTAGAGGAGACACTTCCTCTAAAAAAAAAAAGAAAGAAAAAAGATTAAAATAAATGTGAGGGAAAAAAGTTTAATACTTCAAATTTATGCATAAGATCAACTCAAACATAAATGCAGCTATATTTAGTTTTAACCCATCGGTGTTTCTCATTTGGGAGTCACATTTTTGGTTTCATCAAAAGTGACACTTTTTTTTTACTATGTATGTATTTTTGTTCAATACAATTTTTGTATTTTATATTTTGTATTATGAGAGAATTTTATGGTACTCATATGTATGCAATAATTTATGCCATTTATCCATTGAAAATACATCATTTCTCAAATGTTTCCATTATTTTTCAATTAATGCAGTATTTTGGGTTAAAATACTAGGCGTTTAAAATCCAGTTTTACCATGAAGCTACAATTTTTTAAATTTCAAAATGTTACATTTTTCGGTCAAAAGTGAACGAAGAGCAGCAGAGGGTCAATGAAGCAATCGCACCAATGACTAATTTATTATAATACAAAATAATCTACTTGATAAAACAAAGTGAATTTCTTGAATACAAGCTACCTCTTTTCACTAAAGCCGCTTTCCCTAACATCAAGAAATATTTTATCCAGTCAACGCAGTCTTGTTCGTAGTATTGTTTCAGTAATTCAAGTTGTTCTCTGTCCTTGTTCCACTTCTGCGCTGTGATTATTCCCTGCAGTACAGGTGTGATGTATCTGAGCTCCTTCAGGTCTAGAAAGATGAAATCCTGTCCATCATAACCGTGCTGATCAAACCCACGTGATTCTCCAGTCTCATCATCCCACTCACATCCATACATCCTCTGATACACGTGAACACCTGAAGAAGAAAAGGAGGTGCCATAAGATCTGCTCTTTTTTTTACTGTAAAAGATAATTCTTTGACATTTAAAACTATGGCATAAAGTATTGTATCTCACCATGTGACTGATTGAATTGCTCCATTATAAAACGAATGTTGATTTTGTTGGTCTGCTGCACTCGTTCTCTGAACTCAGTGTATTCTTTAAATCTGTCTTCAGATGCAAACTCCTTCATCCAGTCCTGTTTGGGAATCAGCTTCTTTATCTCACTGTCATAATAATCAATCTGTTGTCCATCCAGTGCAGTTACAGCAGAAATATCTGGGAATCCTGCAACCGTCTGTCCATGTATTTCAGTGTAAAGTGTGATGAAGGTGTGCCTCTCTGAACAAACAACAAGACAAACACAGTTAAACACCACATACAGTGCCATAAATCAAATTACTGTTTGAGTCGTTCAGTTTTTTCTTTTAATTTCACATCACTACTTTTGCAGTTTCATCATAAACTAGATAATGTTTGTCAAGACAAACAGTAGGTTGACTTGAGAAAGCCTAGCCTGAAAGTTTGAAGTAGTTGCTTGAAATCTTGAAGATAGACAGAGAGACAGACAGACAGACAGACAGACAGACAGACAGACAGATAGATAGATAGATAGATAGATAGATAGATAGTTTTAAGTTTATAATAAGTAGTAATTTTAAAAGCTCAAAATTTGAAGGTTAAGTTTCTCAGACAGATGCAACTGTGTTCTTGTTGGTTGTATAGTGTTATGGTGTTATTAGTTGGTTGCTAGGGTGCTCAAGGTGATTGCTAGGGTGTTGCTAGGGTACTCTGGATGGTTGCTAGGGTGTTATGGGTGGATGCTAGGGTATTCCAAGTGGTTGCTATGGTGTTATGGGTGGTTGATAGGTGGTTGCCAGGGTGTTCTCTGTGTTTTTCAGTGTTATTAGACCATTGCTATGCGGTTGCTACGGTACTGTTGGTGGTTGATAGGCAGTTGCTAGGGTGTTTTGAGAGGTCACTAAGGAGTTATGTGTGGTTGTTAGGGTGTTTCCATGTAGTGTCTACATATTTGTAGTTGCTAGGTCTGCCATGTAGTTGCTAGCATGTTTGCTAACCTGTTTCTTGCATGTTTTAACACCTCACTAGCATGTTTATAACATGTTTGCATGTTTATAACATGATTTAACACATTACTAGGTTTGGCATGTTTCTAACATTGTTTAACAGACCGCTAGCATGTTTTAGCATGATTAAATGCACCACTAGTATGTTTAGATAGATAGATAGACAGACAGACAAACAGACAGACAGACAGACAGACAGACAAACAGACGATGATAGATAGACAGACAGACAAACAGACAGACAGACAGACAGACAGACAAACAGACGATGATAGATAGACAGACAGACAAACAGACAGACAGACAGACAGACAGTGTGGACAGTCAATCATTTAGATAAGATTCCAATTAGATATGCACAAAAATCAGATTTGGACTGACACTCTGAACAAGGCTTTAGTCAGAATTTTAGTCCCAGAAGAATAATAACTATAAGTTTAAATAGCATTTCAGTAGTTTTTTCACTAATTAGGCATTACTGAAATGCTTTAAACCCAAAACTCATCCTGTGAAAACGGTTTTGATATTGCATCACCATGGAAATGGTACTTTAAAACCTTTTTGCAAGCTCAATTTGGGATATCAACTTCAAATTTGGAAGATGATTTAATTAGACATAGCTACAGCTTTGCAATACCAACCTTAGGTCTGTATTGCAAAGTGTTCATGAATCTATGGATCTATGTTTTAAAAAAATGGGGGTGACAGTTAACAGGTTAATTTAAATTAAAATTATCATAATTTTAGTCATGCATATAGGACTAGTGTTGTCATGATTCCAAACTTTTGACTTCGATACGATACCTGACAAAAATATCTTGATAGATACTACTACTGAACCGATACATGACAAAAACCTAAAACAACTGGAAAAGCAACTGAATAATAGATGACCCACATGAAACTTATAGTTCGCTATTTGATCTATTAATTTAAAAAATGCCACCACACAGGGCTATGGTGAGCAACTATCAGTTTATGATATAGCTGATTCTACAGGTAAATAAAGATCTTTGAAACATTGGTAAGTTAACTAAAAGAATAAAGCCAAATTAGACTGTAATTATTGAGCTCAACTGCCCTGTCAAACGCAGATGGTGAAAAAGTTTACGTGTCACAAAATAAAGCACACTCTTTTGACTTACTGTATATTTGAGCTAGAGTTTGGAAATATGACTTAACTCTTATTTCACAATGAGAGTCATTTTAGTTCATGATGCAAATAAAAACATAGATGCAAATCACAAACAAAACGACATACATTAAAACAAAGACACGAGTGAAATAAACAGGTACAGTAGGTCTATTTAACAGTAGCACTGAAGTAAGAAATGATACACTGAATAAAGTAGTCAAAATGTAAAAATTAAATATTCATACATTGGTCTTATTAAAGCTACTGAAATTAGTCAGTCAAGATCAGTAAGTAATTTTTCTTTTATTTTGTTGTTTGATTAACATTATAGATACAGACAGAAAGTTTAGTCCCAGAAGAATAATAACTATAAGTTTAAATAGCATTTCAGTACTTTTTTCACTACACTGTGAAAAGATTACTGTGAAATTTACAGTAAATTGCTGGCAGCAATTGGCAAGTAAGTTGCTGTAATATATTCCACAGTATGCTGACTGTAAGTTTAATCCCAGTACAGTAACTTTGAGCAGTCCTGCACACTGCGTGGATGTATAATGTTTGGTCAGTGTTCATGCAGGGAGCTGAAGCAGAGCTGAACACACACTGTCCTGCTGTCGCATGTCGACACAACTCAGGAAATATGGCTCTTATTAAAACAATGCCATTCTTAAAGTATTATTAAAGTGTATTAGTGAAATGAGGAATCGCACAGTTTTTTAAAGCAGGGTATCGCAATACATTTTTAGTACCAGTATATCGTGCAACACTATATAGTACTAGACAAATAATAAAATAAAAAGGTACAAAATAAGTAAATCTAATATATAATATATAATAATAATAATAATAATAATAAATTGTTTTGTATATGAGAAAATTACATTAGGGTATTTTCAGGGATATTGTCGATAACTAAAAATATTCAAAACATTTATGCTAATTAAAATGAAGCTGAAATGAAACAAAATTGATAATAATTATAATATGAACATTAATTGAAAACCTGAAAATTAAAACCGTTGCCTGGCAATTAACTAAGTTTACATTGAAGCACTGGAGATAAATAAACATTAAAATAGCAATATTAAAATATTCAAACAACAACAAAAAATAATAAAATTACAAAAGCACACAATAAAATTACTTAAAAATGAAACTAAAATTATCAAGAAAAAGAAACATATAAAAATAAACACTGATTCAATAAATTAATAAAACTAAAGTAACACTGAGTTCAACACACGGAAGTAGCTGAAGGCCTTGCTGACAGAAATCTTTCTTTTTAACGACATGCCATTTTCTGTGGCTATATTCATGGCGAGAGCCAAATTTAATTATTCAAAGATAAAACTAAATTAGATATTTAAGATTTTTTTTTTCGTTCTAAAATCTATAAAACTAAATTTGGATTTACTTGGTTAGCTGACAGAGAATTCATCCCTAATTATTAATCGTTAATCTCACCTGAGTAAACAAAAGGTACGCAGATGAAGAAAACGATGACCTTCATTATGGACAAAAATCCATGCATTTGACTCTCAAATAAGCGTAGCTGTCAAAGAGCGCTGCAGACACTTTTCAAAAACTTCACCACATCCACAGGAAGAAGTGGTTACTGAGGGAAGCTGCAGGTCTAAATAAACAGTTTCAATACGGATGTTTAAGGAAGAAAGTTTTACTCACAAGTTGACCGCTTTATTCAGTAACCATTTTTTTCCAGACAGACATTCGATAATTTCTGTTAACACTTTATTTTGATACCCCACTTTAGACATTCTACTGACAGTTAGATCTAACACTAATATTCAGGTACGGAAATACTGCAGAAATTGAATGAAGTAATCAAACGTAAAATAACACTGGATAGTCTTCACTGTATAAATAAATACAGACAAGTCCTTACAGTTAAAGTTTCAAAAAGTGATTTAGTCAAGAGCAGTGAGTGACTTGCTCTTTGTCTTTTGTTGCTCTTTGATTAACATTAATGACACAGACAGCAGCAGGTTCATTAGGCTGCTGTCACTTTAAGACCTAATGCACATATCTAATACTGTTACACAAGCGGTTTCCTTCTCAACTGTTTACACTCATTTAAGACATAACCGACTGCGTTTGTAGGAATACTGGCCATGATGGGCGTTTTGACAATTTTGTGTGTATTAGAAACTTTTCGTGCAATACGCCGTGAAAAAGAACTCAGTAGTCGCGAGCTGTCTGAGAAGCGGTTTCATGTGTGCACGCTTTGGGTGTGTAGGTGCAGTAGACCGCACATATCCTCACAGAAACTGATATATGAAGTTACAGTCTCTGTGTGCTCATTTCCCAAAAGCAACTTCCATCCACAGTTATCTAACGATGCTTTTGGGAAACAAAACCCAGATTGGTGGCTGCAGCTTCAAAAGCACTCCAGTCAGTGCAGTCGAAGCAGGCTTGTAAATCCCACTCTGCTTCATTAGTCCATCTCTTTACAGTCCTTAGTACAGGTTTAGCTGATTTCAGCTTCTGCCTGTAGGTCAGTATAAGATGAACCAGGCAGTGATCAGAAAGGCCCAAAGCTGCCCATGGGAAAGAGTGATATGCATCCTTTATTGTGGTGTAACAGTGATCCAATATATTAGTCTCTGGTGGGACATTTAACACGCTGTCTGTATTTTGGCAGTTTACATGATTACAAATTATTAACACAATGGCAGTAAATTATTAATAATTGATAGATTCTCTCTCTAATTCTTTGTTTTTCTCTGTGATGCAGGATGTGATGCTTTTTGCCAGTCAAACCAAAAATACTTACTTGAAGTTAATATTTCAATAATTTAACATTACATTTGCATGCTCTCTGATGTCAGTTAATGGTCATACATTTATCCTCTTTATAACATTAATCACATTTCAATTAATCCCAAATCTATAAACAAATGATGTCAAAATAATCCAAAAGTGGTCAGAATACATTACCTAAAATTAGTAATCTTGACTACGATTTTTAAGTAATTTACCCAGCACTCTTTAAAGGCCATTTTCTTTTGAAATATTTACAAATGGAAAGACAAGATCACACACAGCAACACATCTGAGGCAGCTGCTATTAGCATGAGTTTCATATACAGACAGTATCTGGTTTGCATTTGCACCTTCATATCCAGTGTGGTTGGACAGACCCCACGTCACACATACTGTATGTTAGAAAGTGTTTCTTCTTATTCCTTCATGTCATATCTTGCCCAAGGCACCAAGTGAGCAAAAACTACAACTGATGCAGGTTTGTGACGTCCTTGTGGATATTATTTAACACTAAAACCGGTTTTGGTCCTGACGAATCCCAACTGGACTGGAATCTGAGGCCCGTACAGATGAACGGAGGAAACTCTTCAAAGATTTTGATCTGCTTGTCATTTGTTCGGACCGACTGCCAGCTCATACTTCACGGCTGCAAAGTAATATCGTACATATTCTTTGAGATTTTAATTCTGCTTGTGTAAATTCTGAGGACATTCCCATCATCCTACAACTATTGAAGCTGTTCACGGAAAAACTGTAAAAGTACTTACTTGTATACGTTGGATCGAAAGACAAATATACAGGAATAAGGAAACTCACAGACAGAAATATTTTTTTGAAGAATGCTTTTGTAAGTCCTTAAAAACACAAAAATTATTCTTAAAAAGACATACAATAATATACAGAAACAGCAATATAGGTCTGAAAAAAGTAAATGCAATGAATGATTTCGGTCTGTTCCTCAAACAAATCTATCATTTGACTTAAAAGGCTTGAAATACAGTGCACAAGTCATATTGACAAATTAAATAATACTTATTCTTGGCTTTTTCCAAGCTTGACGAACTTAGTCACTTTTATTATACAGTATGACAGAAGAAGAACTTCACAATATACCGCACTATTAATAACTTACTGTTGTTACTCTTGATCTCGTTCTCTCTCAGAATCTTCTGGATGGTCTTTCCCTCGTGCTCCACCACACAAACATACTGGTGCTTCTTCCACTCGTCTGGATGAATATTGAGGATAGATGTCTTCTGGAAGGTCCCATCCTCATTTGGTAGTAACTGTCCAAGATCCACATCCTCATCATGATCTTCTCTTTTTCTTAACCAGGTGATAGTCACTGCTGATGGGTAAAAACCTGTTGCATGACACTCCACTGGAGAGGAGGAACTCCTCTGTAACAGAGACACTACAGGAGCTACAACAACAAAAAAATAGTGATAAAATACTTAATACTTCCAATTTATGCAATAGACCAACTTAAACATAAACACAGCTACAATTTGTTTGAACGCTTCAGTGCTCCTCAAATGACACCTGAAATGTAACAGAAAAAAAGTAATAAATATCTGTTCAATTTTTTTTTTTTTTAGAGAGAGAATTTCATGGTACTAAATAATATTTATACAATACATTTTTCCATGGAAATAATTTCCCCCACAAATATGTGTAATTAATTTTTTAATTAATGCAGTATTTCAGGTTAAAATAGAGACTAGGCCTTAAAAATTCAGTTTTCTCATGAAGCTATGATTTTTTACAAAACATTTTTTGAAAACAAAATTTCTCAGTCAAAATTAACCAAAGAGCACCAGAGGGTTAATGAGGCAAAAAAACACCAATGACTTATTTATTATAGGGTAGAGTGGGGGAAATGCCTCCCTACTGTTTTTCACAAAATAACCACTAGATAAAGTCAAGATACATTTTTGTTGTAACTATGGACTGTGTTGACAAGAGTGATGTAGAAGTATTCATCGTGAAGCTCACATTGCTGGTGAAGCTGAGAGAGAACAGATTTCACAGGAAGTGATCCAATTTTCAGCGGTAAAAAAAAAGTGTTTTAAAGCTTGTTCTTTTGTAGAACACCAGTTATATATGATATGAGAATAGTTAGGCCTGTAGATTAGGAGTATGTGTTATTAAAGAAAAATATAATACTATTTTTAGAATTACATGTTTTTTCTCAAACCTAGTCTGTGGGGTCACGCTTCCCCCCAATCTACCCGAATCAAAAATAATCTACTTGTTGAACAAAGTGAATTTCTTGAAGACGAGCTACCTCTTTTCTCTAAACCCGCTTTCCTTAATGTCAAGAAATATTTTAACCACTCAACACATTCGTATTCGTAGTATTGTTTCAGTAATTCAAGTTGTTCTCTGTTCTTGTTCCACTTCTGCGCTGTGATTATTCCCTGCAGTACAGGTGTGATGTATCTGAGCTCCTTCAGGTCTAGAAAGATGAAATCCTGTCCATCATAACCGTGCTGATCAAACCCACGTGATTCTCCAGTCTCATCATCCCAATCACATCCATACATCCTCTGATACACATGAACACCTGAGGAAAAGAGAGAGAGGGCTTACTTGTATTTTTATTGTATAAGGTCATTCTTGACATTCTTGACAACTATAGTATAAAGTATTGTATCTCACCATGTGACTGATTGAATTGCTCCATTATAAAACGAATGTTGATTTTGTTGGTCTGCTGCACTCGTTCTCTGAACTCAGTGTATTCTTTAAATCTGTCTTCAGATGCAAACTCCTTCATCCAGTCCTGTTTGGGAATCAGCTTCTTTATCTCACTGTCATAATAATCAATCTGCTGTCCATCCAGTGTAGTTACAGCAGAAATATCTGGGATTCCTGCAACCGTCTGTCCGTTTATTTCAGTGTAAAGTGTGATGAAGGTGTGCCTCTCTGAACAAACAACAAGACGACATAAAGCTCTTAGACACCACATTAAAATTACTGTTTGCATGTTTCAGCATTTTCTTTTCACTTCATCAATACTTTTGCAGTTTCGTCATAAATTAGGCATCACTGGAAAGGTTTAAACTTAAAACTCATCCTGTGAAAACATTGTGTTACATTATAAACTGTACTATAAAACCTTTTGCGGGCTCAGTTTTTGTGATATATACTTCAAATTTGGAGCATCACTAGGTTAGATATACCGATATATTTTTATAGCAATTTTACAGTCCAAATTATTTTGTCAAACAAATTTCATATAAAATAAGTTCAGTACATTGGCTTTACTAAAACTTCTAGAACTGTTTTACTTGTTCATTTTTCAAGCGTTTATAATCTGCAGTGTCTTCTTTAAAAAGACCAACCTTGGGCCTGTATTTCAAAGCATTCTTGAATCTATGGATCTATGTTAACGGGTTAATTTGCATCCAAATGTTCATAACTTTAGTCATTCATGTAGGACTAGATAAAAAACAAATTTGATAAAAAGGGAGAAAATAATAATAATAAATTGTTTTATATTTGAGAAAATTAGAAAACACCACATGATTTTCTGTCAGTTCAACCAGGGATATTATCGATAGCTAAAACTATTAAAAGCATTTCTGTTAATTAAAATAAAGCTGAAATAAAACAAAATTAACAATAAATATAATACAAATATTAGTTGAAACTAAACAAAAAGGCAAAAAAACTGAAATTAGTTTACGTTGAAGCACTAAAATAAACACTTATTCAACATATTAATAAAAAATAAAGGGAAGTAGCTGAAGGCCTCACTGACAGAAAAATCTTTCTTTCCTTTTTAACGCCATGCCAGCTTCTGTGGCTATATTCACGAGAGCCTAAATATGGATTTACTTGATTAGCTAACAGAGAATTCATCCTTTAAATGATGTTATGAAATGAATCTCACCTGAGTAAACAAAAGGTACGCAGATGAAGAAAACGATGACCTTCATTATGGATAAAGATCTACGCATTTGACTCTCAAATAAGCGTAGCTGTCAAAGAGCGCTGCAAACACTCTTCAAAAACTTCACCACATCCACAGGAAGAAGTGGTTACTGAGGGAAGCTGCAGGTCTATATAAACAGTTTCAATACGGATGTTTAAGGAGGAAAGTTTTACTCACAAGTTGACCGCTTTATTCAGTAACCATTTTTTTCCAGACAGACATTCGATCAGTTCTGTTAACAGGTAGATCTAACACTAATATTCAGGTACGGAAATGCTGCAGAAATTGAATGAAGTAATCAAACGTAAAATAACACTGGATAGTCTTCACTGTATAAATAAATACAGACAAGACCTTACAGTTAAAGTTAGAAAGAGTTATTCAGTCAAGAGCAGTGAGTGATTGTCCTTTGTTATTTAGGTATTTACAGGCTGCTGTCACTTTAAGAGCTAATGCATGAATCCAATATACTGTTACACGTGCGTTATCTTTCTCAACTGTTTACACTCACTTAAGACATACAGTAACTGACTGTGTTTGCTTGAATGCTCGCCAGGAATGGCATTTTGACAATTTTGCTGCATCAGAAAGTTTACGTGCAATAAGCAGTGAAAAAGAACTCAAGGCGGATTTATGTGTGAGCGCATAGAAAACCATTTCTAAATTGAATTGAGTTCTTTTTTGCTTCTTTATTTGAATAGTTTAAAATCCCTTTAATGTTTACATTGGCAAGACTTAAAAACATGCACGGCTGATACATTCCGTTAATTGTCCTATTCCAGAGAGCACAGGTACGTCTGCAAGAGGTCTGTTAAAGATCTCTTCATTTGGAAAGCATATGCTGTGTGCAAACTGATAGACATCTTAAAGATGTCAGTTTTACATTCATTCTAAATCATAAGCATCTTAAAGACATCTTCTAAACATCTATTTGACATCTGAAAGGAAACGTACATCATGGAGACGTCTATTTGACGGTATTAGGTATTATTTTTAGAGTGTTTGCTCATCTGCAATACGTCTATAGGACGTTTCCTATCAGATGTCAAATAGACATTTAGAAGATGACTTTAAGATGTTTATGATTTAGAATGACTGTAAAACTGACATCTGAAAGATGTCTATCAGATGTTTGTACCTGTGCTATGGTTAAGATAACTAATAACAATCCAGTCACATACTATATTCATAATACTTTAGGAATTTCATGACTTATTGTCTGTACTTTCATTACCATCAAAGTACGTTAATTTCATGTGCTCTGATTATTCTTTTTTTTTAATGTGCAATTATACATCAATGACAAAATTAAACTTTCCTTAACATAAAATGTTTTTTTTTTTTTTTACCAAGTCAACATAAATTAACTGTATGATCTTTATACATCAAGTGAGATATATTTCCTCCACATTTGAGGTGAGAGACTTACAAATGTTTGAAATAAAACATAGGGATGTGTGGGGCGGAAACTAATGTGGGGTTAGTTGTTACCAGCCAAAATCACATTCAGTTTTGGGTAATAAAGAAAAAAGTATACACTGTAATTATAAAAAACAAAACCACATTTTTGTACTAGACAAGTGTGAAATTAATGTGGAAAAATTCTTCTAATTTATGACCAGTGTTTTGTTTTGCTCTCTCCTCTGCGCTTCCGCATTCGTCACTTCTCACAGTGTGATGTTGCTGATGCAGGGCCGGCATTCTGACGTAGAACATTTGTCTTGTTGACAAGCAGAGGAATGCACAATCATGCGTTGTGGTACTCTCGTAAACGCGCATCGAGGACTGACTCAGAAGAGAAGAAATTGTTGAATAAAGTCGTTATTTATGTTTTCTTTGTGCACAAGAAGTAGTCTTGTAGCTTCATAAAATTACGGTTGAACCAGATGTCACATGGACAATTTTAACAACTATACGTGCTACATTTCTGGGCCTTGAACATTGTAGTTCCTTTGCTGTCTATGCCTGGTCAGATATGTATCTCCATTTCTTGTCAGTTACATCAAAAATATAAAAAAAGTTCAACAACGACACCGGTAGGTTAAGTAACATCTTTCATCTAAAACGTCTGCTAGAAAGTGCACTATAGCATAGCATTACTATGGTGCTCAGCACCAACGTCTTTTGAATCTTTTCATTCATGAAGCTATAATTTTGAATATAATAATGACAAAAAGTGATATCAAATACATATAGTGCTGTGTTAATTAAAGGAACAGTGCATCCAAAATAAAAACTCATCATTTACTCACCATCATGTCAGTTTGGATTTGTTGTTTAGGCTTCTGGGTAAAAGTCAAATGCAACAAAATTTTCCTGACAGTATTAACAAGAAAACTATACCAGCGCATGGGTATTAGCATAAACCCATAAATAGTCATCTGCATAATATTCATGTCATGATGCATTCTGGGAACTCAAGATTAATCATATTTATTGGTGTGGACATCACAGCACCTGTCAAAAGACAAAACTTGACATGTTTTCTAACAACAGGGAACTCATACACTGCACACATACTAGTATATATACCCACTTATATGCCAACATACTCATATAATGAGAAAATCAGTGATGTTGCAGAGTGAATATATGAGCCTGTATGCAAAGCTATGTGTGCTGGTGATTACAAATATTAATTCATGTTAAGTCTTTTTTTCTCTCAGGTACCGAGACAAAAAGTCTAAATTGTGAGATAAAAATTTGTTTTTAGATGCCTCTCCCATAATTACTTTACAGAACAATTCATATATACAAGTCATATATTTATAAATGTTGCTGGTGTTTCGTGTACAGTATCAGAATTTTTACAGGAATCAGATGTTTATTATTATTTTTTTAGCTTTGTTTTTATAATTTACAAAAGCAACCCATCAAACAAATAAATGTTCTAGTGAAAACTGTAAAATACTAAAGGAACCGTTAAATATTTATTAGTGCTGTCAAAATTAGCACATTAAAGCATGTGATTAATTATTTTTTTCAGTTTAACGCGTTAAAAATATTTTACGCAATGAATGACTGGTCAGAGCTAGGGTCACCTCACTCACAACTGCTGCTTCTGTCTCTTTTTTTCTTGACAAGAATTGCGTTTATTTAGACGCAGCACGTCTTTACGACCTCAGCAAACGGGAGACTTTTCAGGCGCTTCAATTGCATGCACAAATGCAGCAGTGCACGCTGTAGCCTGTATCATTTCATATTAAAATGCAAAGAAACTGCGTATGCAATGTCATAATTATTAGGGCTGGGTAAAAAATATCGATATCAATCGATTCTCATTTTTACGGAACGATATCGATTCTTAAATCCAAGAATCGAGTAGTCTCGCCTGTTTTCAGTTAATGGACGGAACGTTGAAGGGCACTTTCCATCCAATAAATCGCAATAAGCATTGTGCTTTGTTACTTTTAATATGAAACAAAGTCTCAGATTTCAAATTCTGTCCATTGTATTGCAGTATTCAAACAATAAATGTCATTTTGGCGCCGTTTAATGTGGAGATCAACAGACGCAGCAGCGCGAGGCACACGTGAACTGATCGTCTCCTCCACATTAATACCAGCTTCAGCACAAAATAAACATGACTAAACATCCGAAGGCAAGTTAAAAGAAAGAGTACAACTTTACAATCCATATCCTGTCTCATGTAATCAATCAATCAGTGTTTCAGCCACGCAAAGACGTCAATACCATAAACTCCCATAAACCATAACCATAACCGTGACCAGTGTTGGGGGTAACGCATTACAAGTAACGCGAGTTACGTAATCAGATTACTTTTGTCAAGTAACTAGTAAAGTAACGCATTACTTTTTTAATTTACAAGAAAATATCTGAGTTACTTTTTCAAAAAAGTAATGCCAGTTACTTTGTTTTCCCATTTATTGACTGACAAGTCTCCTGTCCCCATATTGGGAGAAATCGGGAGTACAGAGGCGTTGTGTGCGCTGCGCTTTTTCACAAAAAAACAGATTTAGTATTCATCAAAATGAATTAAAACGGTCAAATGCAAACTCAGAATATGACGCAAACCTGCAATAATTAAATATGTTAAATAACACAAATGTATCTAATCCCATTTTATTAACGGATTTCTTTGCTGCTGAATTTTGATGATCCAGTTCAACCGTACTAATAAGCAAAAATGACTTTAGATAAACTAACAATTGTGCTTCATTGTTTTTTTATTGCTGAAGAGTGTTTCTTCTCCTGCGTTCTACTGTACAGACGTGAATTTACTTTTGCTTCAGCCTGAGCTTTATTCATTACACTTTTTGGTGTGAAAGGGCTTTTATATTTGCTATAAATAGAACTTCTTATATTAAAAACAATCAAGCCCTGCTTATATTTACAAAAGTAACGTGAAAGTAACGCAAAAGTAATATAACGCATTACTTTCCATAAAAAGTAACTAAGTAACGTAATTAGTTACTTTTTTAGGGAGTAACGTAATATTGTAACGCATTACTTTTAAAAGTAACTTTCCCCAACACTGACCGTGACCATAAACTCATTAGTCACATAGAAAAATAAACTGTAGAGAGGGGGGCATTTTGCTAAATATATGCACCATATAATAGTTATAGAGACTTTAAGAGCTGAAGTGGCTCAGAAAAGATAAAGAGTTATGAGAAACTATGATGTGTGTCAGATCCGTATCATGTTCAGCAGCAGCAGCTCTTAAAGCAGCCAAAACAACCTCATAACCAGCTGCTGTGATGTCTGCTCATCAAAGAACAAAAGAAAAAAAAAGAGGAAATCAATAACTTTTTTAGCTTTAAGGATTCATCAATATTCATCTATATATTTAGTGTTTGATATCTTTATTCAATTGCTGTATATTTCCTACTTGCTGAAGGGCACATGTAGCTAAATATGACATTTATTATAATGGGTTTATGTGAAGATTGTTTTAAGTTCACTTAAATTAGAAGGTTTTTTTTGTCTAATAAATGTTCAAATTGATAGCTCTCAATTATACTGTAATGTTGAATGATTCTATATTAGGGGGAAAAAACTATTTCATAGAGACATCAGTAGTATTAGTGATCCTTTCTTTTATTACAAAAGATGCCATTAAACAAATAGTCAAAATATACTGTCTTTATGTTGTTTATACATTAATTTGAAGACTGAATGTGAAATTATTGCAATATAAATGTATATTTAAAAACTTTAATGTTAGGTGCGATAAATCATGATTAATCGTGATTCATTTCAGAAAAATGTGCAATTAATTAGTTAAAAATTTTTAATCAAATGACAGCACTAATATTTACATATTAAATGCGTAAAATATTTACAAATGTAGGTGGTGAAAGATGTCGGCACACATTAAAAATTTAAGATGCCCATTAAAGTCTCTATTAACATAATTTTCACATAGAGACAGTATCTGGATATTCTTCAGTTGGTTTGCATTTGCACCTTCACATCGATGTGTCTCCAGCGTATTTGGATAGACATCACAAAATGTAAGAAAGTGTTTTCGTCTTCCTTTCTTCCTTTGGTTATGTATTTTGTCTACGGCACCAAGTTAACTAAAACTGCCACTGATGTCCCTTCATAAAAAAACAGGTCCATGACATGTTTTTGTCAAAGGTGCATGCTAAAAATTTTCTGTTCTCCCACATTCTGAAGATACCCAGTTATACTGAAATCTGGGAAAAGTGCAGACAATTGGAGGAAACTCTTCAGAGACGTTTGTCACTATAGGTCAGCTTTTCATTTTGACAGACTGCCTGCTCACACAGTTTCTGAAAAGTAATGTCATAAAGATTAAATTAGCATATTTTTTTTTCAATTTTCAATTTTTTCAAACACTATTTTATGACCACTTAAGCAGAATGTGACTAATCCAAATCTTTGAAATTTGACATTGGAATTGGAGTAAGTTCACACTAGCATTCAAAAGTCATTTTAAAGTGAAAGTTACGTGACGTGTGGCCAGGTGTGGTGTCCCATACTCAGAATTTTTGCTCTGCATTTCACCCATCCAAGCGCACACACACAGCAGTATTTCCAGCCGTAATAGTGATTTTCAAAATTAGTGAAGCATTGGCTCTATTTAATTCCACCCTACTGGGATTTCTATCAAACACATTCAAATGTGTTTAAATCCAAACATTTGAATGCTTGTGTCATTGATGAAGGACATTCCCATCATCCTACAGCTGATGAACACATGAGATGAGAAAATAAGAACATTCAGACAAAAATACAGGTAAACATACTTACTCGCTTCATTCGGCTTTGTACAAATAAAGTACAAATAACCAGGACTATGGTAACTCCCATCACACACACAAATGTTGTGAAGAATTCTACTGTAGGTCCTTAAAAAAGGTATAAAAAATTATACTATAAAAAAGACACAATAATACAGAAACAGCAAGATAGGGCTAAAACAAATAACTTATGAAATAAATAATCAGTATTAAAAAAAACAAGTTATTAGTTATCATCATTAAATAAAATTCATAAAATTGAAATTGCAATAAAGCTAAAATAAAAATTTTTTTTTTTTTTTTTTTGGCCTCTAACTGAAATATGTATTAAAATTACTAACTTGAAATAAAAACTAAAACTACAAAGACATTAAACCTAAACAGAATATTTAAAAACAACAAAAACTTGTCCTAATTAACCATTGTAATAGTTTGATCTCAGACTGACTCCAAATTTTTTCTGAAACTTATACGGGTTTGGAATGACGTTCAATGAAGGTGAGTAAATAGTAAAAGAATGATCATTTTTGGCTGATGTGTGATTTTGATAAAAAAAATGTACATCTTCATTTGTGGCATTAAGATCCTATTAGCCAAACATGTTAAGGATAGGATATACTTCGTAGTAAGTATAAAAACACAAGCATAAAACACTATACCACACTATTATCAACTTACTTTTGTTATTTTTTATCTCATCCTCAGTCAGAACTTTCTGGATGGTCTTTCCCTTGTGCTCCACCACACAAACATACCGGTGCTTCTTCCAGTCGTCTGGATCGATATTGAGGGTAGATGTCCTCTGGAAGGTCCCATCCTCATTTATTAGTGTCTCTCCAAGATCCACATCCTCATCGTGCTCCTGTCCATTTCTTAACCAGGTGATAGTCATTGCTGATGGGTAAAAACCTGTGGCATGACACTGAACCACTGGAGAGGAGGAACTCTGTAACAGAGACACTTCAGGAGCTAAAAAAAAGATAAATGTGAGAAAAAGGTTTAATATTTTCTAAACAGTTATATAGATCCACAATATTAAGCTACATTTGTTGTTTTAATGAAGCAATCCACATTAAAATAAAAAGAAACACCAATGACCTATAGATGAACAAAGGGAAATTCTCAAAGACAAGCTACCTTTGCTCTCTAAAGGAGCTTTCCTTGAATTTATGAAAAATCTCAGCCAGTAAACACACTCATATTCATAGTGCTGTTGTAGAAATTCAAGCTGTGAGCTGTCATTGTTCCACTTGGCTGTTGATTCCATTGCCTGTGGTGTAGCTGCAGTGTATCTGCCCTTCTTCACGTCTAATGTAACATAGTCTTCTCCATCATATCCATACTGATCAAACCCATATGATTCTCCAGTCTCATCAGCCCAACCACATCCATACATCCTCTGATACACATGAACACCTGAATGAAAGAATGGGGGGGGGGGCTCTTTTGATGTATTCCTTAAATGTTTAATACTGTAGTATAAAGTATTTTAACTCACCACCTGTCTGATTGAATCGCTGCATTAGAACAGCAATGTTGTTCTTGTAGGTCTGCTGTACTTGTTCTCTGATCTCAGTGTCTTCTTTCCACAGCTCTTTAGATGCATATTCCTTCATCCATTCCTGTCTGGGAACCAGTGACTCTGTTTCACTGTCATAATAATCAATTTGTTGTCCATCCAGTGTAGTTACAGCAAAAAACTCTGGGATCCCTGCAATCGTCTTTCCACTGATTCCAGTGTAAGTAGTGATGAATGTGTGCAACGCTGGAAAAATATGAAACAAACAATCCACACCACATACAGTGTCATAAATCAAATTACTATAAAATACCACTAGCCAAATGAATATTGCTTGAATCTGAGATATGATTTGTACTGCAGATTTTTTTTTTTTCCTTTTGGAAAATCCCGTTTTTCTTCCACTATAGTTTCCAGATTTCTACAACTTCTACTTTTTCCACTCATTCAAACATATTCTTCCAACTGTGAACCCAGTTCTGATCTTTACCCTAGCAACTATATTAAATCTATTACGTTAGCCAGATAGATTTTTCTGACAGTTCAACATACGGAAGTAGCTGAAGGCCTTGACAAATAATTCATTGTTTAAACGACGTTAAAAAACATCTCACCTGAGCAAACAAAAGGCATGTAGATGAAGAAAATTATGAAGTTCATTATGGACGAAAACTCATGAATTTGATCCACAATTTCTGTAAGTGTAGTTGCTGTAGAAAACTGTAAAAACTGCTTGGTCTTCGCCACACCCGAATCTAAAGGAAAAATAGGTTACCAAGCAAGTTACATCAGCACGGGAGTAAAAGCTTCCGCCCTAAACTTCCGTACTGAGACTGCTTATCCAGAGCTGCAAAGACACGTCCTGTGGCTGCGCTCAGTAACCTGTTTTTTCCTGTCGATTCGGGTGTGGCGAAGACTAAGGAATTTTTACAGTACGGCAACTATACTTAAAGACTTGTGGATCAAATTCATGGATTTTCGTCCATAATGAACTTAATAATTTTCTTCATCTACATGCCTTTTCCTCATTTTGTTTACTCGGGTAAGATTAATTTTGTAACATCAGTTGAATGTTGAATTCTGTCAATCAAGGCCTTCAGATACTTCCGTGTGTAGAGCTGACAGAAAATCACACCACGCTTCAAATCTGATACTGTATGTAATATTTTCTCAAACATCTTTTATAATCTCCAGGCTAATAGAAGTATTTAACAGATTTAGTGCGTGCTTTTTCCATTGTGGGATGAAAAGTTCTAACGAAATGTGCAACAATTAAATACTTTCAGTATTTTCGAAGTATAGTTCCACATAAACAAATACTATGCTTCTGTGAACAATGGTTATCTGCGTAAAAGTCGTGCCTAATGGTTAGAGAGTCGGACTCGTAACCCCAAGGTTGCGAGTTCGAGTGTCAGGTCCGGCAGGGATTGTAGTGAATGTACAGCGCTCTCTCCCACCTTCAATACCACGACTGAGGTGCCCTTGAGCAAGGCACTGAACCCTCAACTGCTCCCCGGGCGCCGCAGCATAAATGGCTGCCCACTGCTCCGGGTGTGTGTTCACGGTGTGTGTGTGTTCACTGCTGTGTGTGTGCACTTTGGATGGGTTAAATGCAGAACACTAATTCCTAGTATGGGTCACCATACTTGGCCACATGTCACGTCACTCACTCACTCAAAAGTATTGATAAAAAAAGAAAGCAAGAGTAATTTGTTTTAGTTGATGTCAAATTGTTTCATGTTTTTCAGAGTTGCACACATTCATCACTACTTACACTGGAATCAGTGGAAAGGCGATTGCAGCAACTCCAGAGTTTTCTGCTGTAACTACACTGGATGGACAGCAGATGGATTATTATGACAGTGAGACAAAGAAGCTGATTCCCAGACAGGTCTGGATGAAGGAGATTGCATCTAATGGAATGTGGAAAAAAGACTCTGCGATCAGAGAACATGTGGCGCAGATCTACAAGACCAATATTGCTGTTCTAATGCAGCGATTCAATCAGACACGTGGTGAGTACATTTTTTTTACATAAATACTTAAAATATTACATTCCAAAGTACAGTAAGTACAGTAGAGCATCCTTTGCTCTTCTCTCTCATTCAGGTGTTCATACGTATCAGAGGATGTATGGATGTGGTTGGGATGATGAGACGGACATCAAATATGGGTTTGATCAGTATGGTTATGATGGAGAGGATTTTCTCACACTAGACATGAAGAACAGCAGCTACACTGCATCTGTACCGCAGGCACAAACCACAGTGCAAAAATGGAATAACAGAGAACAACTTGCATTATTACTACTGTACTTCAAACATGAGTGCATTTACTGGATGAAGGAGTTTTTAAACGTGTCTAAAGCTGCTTTTGAGAAAACAGGTATATAGTAAAGTTAATGGGACAAAAAGTTATATTAAAAGTTAAAAAGTTAAAGTTATTATTAAATCTTGCATATGCATAAATCATGTTTTATCAGACAGTTTGATAAATCTATGCATGCCAACATTAGAGAGGTTAAACTGTGCATGTGTTTGTTCCCTGTTCTGTATTTATTTTAGAGCCTCCTGAGGTGTCTCTGTTGCAGAGGAACCAAGACTATTATGTGGAGTGTCACGTCACAGGGTTTCACTCCAGAAACACAACCATTACGTGGAGGGAGAATGGACAAGCTATAAATGATTCTAGAAAATTGGTGAAGCCAGGAAAGATACTACCAAATGGAGACGGGACCTTCCAGAAGAATGTTACCCTCTATGTCCTTCCAGATGAATGGAGGATGGATCAGTATGCTTGTGTGGTGGAGCACAAGAGTTTTACAGAGACAATCCAGAAGATTCTGACTGAGGATGAGATCAGAATTATTAAAAGTAAGTTAAAACCATGAATGTTTCTACCTGTAAATTGTATTCATTTTTGGGACCAAACACTGAAAATTAAAATGGCTTTGTTTTTTTGCTCTGCCATATTAACGGTGTGTTTTTCTGTGTATTATAGAATGTACAGCAGGCTCACCATCATCACCACCACCACCACATTCTTTATATATCATACTTTTCATTTGCCTAGTTAGTGTTGCACTGATTGTACTTTGGAAATGCTGGAGTAGATTCAAAGCTCGTAAGTACTAATGACCTGTTACAAGACACATAATTCCTATGCATTGTGCAAATGTTTATACATGTGTTTCTGTGTGTGGTGGGACAATGAAGAAGAGGGCAGTAAAAGTGAACCTGTTGGTGTTTTTTCAGTTCCTTCATGTATTTTTTTATTCACTAAAATTATAAAACTGTAAGAATTCTATTGGTGTTTTGTGTGAAATGAGGAGATCCCTTTTTAATGTTCTTTAAATTTCAGTGCAGCGTGTAACACCTCTATATATCTCTTTTCACAGCTTACAAGAAGGTTCCCAAAAAACCTTCAAGACTTCAATGATTGTGTACAGAACAGCAATGGGCTCCACAACCTCTGACAAGTGTGCATCCCCTCCAAAAGCCTGTGGTCTGTGAGTGAGTAGTGCCTCATGGTACCATCGCAGAAAGACACAAAATCACTTTCCAGAACATTCACCTGCACAGTTCCTCACTGGCGGAGTGATATAATCCCATATAAGTCCCATATAATGTTTAACAAACATCCAAACCAGGGTGTCCAATCCTGCTTTTGGAAGGCAGCTCTAGTCCTAATTAAACACACCTGTATCAGCTAATCAATGTCTAAAGGATCACAAAACGTTCAGGCAGGTGTGTTGGAGTTAAACTACCCAGATCGCACACGTACGTCTGCAAGATGTCTGTTAAAGATCACTTCATCTGGAAAGCATCTGCTGTGAACAAACATCTGATAGACGTCTTTAAGATGCCAGTTTTACATCATAAACATCTTAAAGACATCTTCTAAACGTCTATTTGACATCTGATAGGAAACATCCTCTAGACGTATTGCAGATGAGCAAACACTCAAAATATACCTCTAGCAGATGTCAAATAGACATCTTTGTGATGTACGTGTGCTATCAGGGTATGCAGGAAAGTGGCCCTCCAGGAATATTTGTTTTACATTATTATTATTAGAAATATGATCTCTTTTTCCCTCTTAACTTATGGAATCCCTTACGGAGCAAACAAAGTCCTACAACTGTTGTATATGTATAAATGTGTGTCAATGGAAATATGTATAAAAAAATTTATTTGTGTCATGGCCTCAATGATCAGATGAAGTCTGGTCAGGTGCCATCTGTGTACTGGTCAAATTGATCGTTGTTTATTAAAAAGTGCTTGGTGATCTTGGGTAAGATCAACATGTATTATGTCATATTTTTTAATTTTGTAATGCTTTGTATGTCTTGCCTTATTGTGTGCTAAATAAAAAAAATTAAGCTTGATATTTTTCTTTTTCTGTGTGAGTTCAGTCTCTGCATTAAAGAGTTTTAACCATAGAAATAAGAATTATATTTGGTCAACTTTTCTCAAAGTTGATGTGATACATACTGTATTGATATATAGGTATAGACAGATAGACAGACAGACATATCAGATCAACCTTAATACTCAATAATCAGCTAGTTGCTAGATGACTATTCAGTTAGTCGACTACTATGACCATTTCTAGTGTTTATGTGAAAACGCTGTTACTATGTGTTCTCCTGATGTTGTGGTATCAGCACTACAGGGCTGTTTGTGAGGTCTGGTCACAGGAGGTAGTTAGTCTCCTCAGTGCCACACTGAATCAGGGCTGTGAAAGAGCCGCTGTCACATCAGCTGTGCAGCGCACGAGTCTGAGCACCAGAACACAACATGCAGCGCCGCGCCACTGTCTGCTTCAACCTGAGCGCCAGAAACACAGCAACACCTGTGTGTGAGAGAGAGACAGGTACACCAGAGCACAGAAAACCTGCTTATTCATGAGGATCTGACTCTTGCTTCAGAGTAAAATAAATAAATAAACTAAACAACACAATAACACAAAATAAACGTCAAAACATTACAATAAAATATATTTCTACTTGAGATGCCAGATGTTATTGCATATATGTAAATGACTATTATATATAATTAATAATGATAATAATTTAATAAAAATAAATATTTGTATTATTTAAACAAATATTATAAATTATATTTGAAAAACAATTTAAATATATACATATCTTAATAAATAAAATGTACATTGTAAAAATGTAAATCCAAATGCATTTATTATATGCAAATAACATTTTAAGATAATTTGTTTTTATATATAAAAAAGTATAATTCTATAAATGTAAAAACAAAATCATTATTATGTAAATAATAAAATCATCTAATTGACATATATATACATATAATAAAAAGTATAATAGTAACAGTAATTTCATAAAAGAAAAAATATTACACATTTAAAATTATATATATGTAAATAATGATTATATAAATGTAAATATATTTGTGATATTATTATATTACAATTTAATAATTCTAATTACAATTATTATATTTTAATTTATGAAATTAAAAGAGTTAAGATATATTAAAATATAATTTAAATATATTTAAAATCAGGAAACATTAAATACAAATAAAATAAATGTTTTTATTATAAAAAATTTAAATAAAAATAAACAAACATTATTATATATACACACAATTTAAATATAAAGGAATTTATTACATATAAATTATAATATAACAATAATGATAATTTACAAAAACAAGAGGGAAAACGGCAAGAGAAAACGGTTTATCGGCAATACATTGCCGATAAACAAAAAACATTTAAATGTGTTCTTGCACTACTGTGCCATAAAAAGTTCTCCAGTACTCAAGGGGGCGATAGAGATTCTTTAAAATCTGCTATTAAGCTAGCTAGATATATAACAAAAAAATCTCTATAGTTTAACTAACTTTAACTAACCTGCTTTGTCTACTGTCGTACTTAACCTGAAAGAGAAATCAAATCAAATTTATGCAATCAACAGCATATGCGTTATACTTATAAGCATTTGCATTCCAGTATTAGCATAACGTTTCAGCATTTAAGTATAAAACACACTTATACCTCTATAATTTCCTCTAAACCCCTCAGTCCCACACTCACACCAGGTAAAGTCCAAGTAGAGCGCGGCTTTAGCGGAGACTGATGATTTGTTTTGCTCACTCTGGCCTCAGGCGTCAGGAGTCGCTGCACCCAACAGACCTGTACGCGCGCTAGCATGAGGCTAACCGGGCCAAATCAAGTCATGATTAATAACACGACAGAGGCAGAAGTGTAAATGCCCACACGCCGCTGTACAAGATTAGTGTACAAACAATGACCGCACCCCAACATTCTGCCATGCTAATCTGCCTGATCGTACGAGAGCCATTCATTAGGGACACTTTGAGTGAAAAACGGCAAATCTCTGGGAAACACACCAGCGTCAGTGTTGCCAGATTGGGCGGGTTCCCGCCCGAGTTCCCGCCCAATTGGGCTTCTTTTGGTAACGTCAGACTAAATTTAGGGTTGATCAAATTTGGGCTGCTTTTTGATATAACTGGCGGGTTTTTCAGTTTCCGTACTTGTAACACGGGAAATTCCCGTATATATTTCAGCGTGAAAGACGCTCGGGACAGATGACGGAATGTGTATCATTTGCGCTTGCTTTTGAGTCTTACAATTTTAAACTTTGTGAGCGCTTTCTGTGAGCTCACACAAAAAGCGCGCTCACATAATGCCGTATCTGAGAGCGCGCGACTAGAGTTAAGTTGTGTTGCACCTTATTGCCAAATACATACAAAATTATGTCGAAATGACCATCTTGATGAGTATTCACGTAAACAGTCGATTTATACTAAACTCGGTATATAGGCTATGTGTAACAGTTAGATCCGTGCATGAGGTCTTAAAGAGACAGCAACCTAAATAAACCTGCTGCTGTCTGTCACTAATGTTTATTTATACATTAAAGACTAACCAGTGTTATTTTAAAGTTAAATAGATTATTCAGTTCTGTTATACCTACCTGAAAAACTTAAAGCACAGTTAATTTTATTTGTATCTTGTTATTGTATTTGTTTGTGCAATTGCTTGTCATTTATCTATTCTTATTTTATTACCGACTAGTTTACTTGTCTTTTTTAGTTAAAATTAATTCAATTCGGAGTTTGAAATCAAAGTTATTTTTAAGTATCTTCCTCTCAATGTAAATATGAATCAACAACATTATAAATTGAAAAACACAAATACACTGGGTGACGAAACGTTTAGGTCAGATGATTGTAGTTTAAAAAAATATGTCTAAAAAAATACCCTAACTCCCCCCTCAAATTAAAAAATCCCCCCCCATAAGAGCCACCTAAAGGGGGATTTCCCCCCCATTTTCCAAAATGAAATTCAGGACCTGTATATATATATATACATTTTTTAAAACAAATTTTGTTACTACACATTTTGGGCTGGTGTTTTTTTTAAATGGGCGGGTTTTACGCTGTAGTTGGGCTGGAGATATTCAATCCAATCTGGCAACACTGACCAGCGTTCGCACACTCGCCGAAGTGCTGTCTCTCAGACGCCGCGCCGCTGAAATGTTACTGAAATAACAATCAGATTTGGAAAAGCTAAAAGCTAAGCTTGATTCTACTCGTTTTAGAGGCTTTTGTAAAGCTAGCAATGAATATTTTCCTTTTTTTAAACACTAAATTACTACATTAGACTGTGCTATACTGAAGAAACAACCCTCATGGTAACAAAACCAGAAAATCTAGCTTTTTTAGCAAGCTAAAGGGGAAATAAAGAGAAAACTGAGGAATAAAAAACATTGAAGACAGAGAATGAAGTCGTCGCTAAACTATTAAATCTGACAATCAGATTCGACTGCGCTCTCGCAGAAGCTAACAGCTATGTTTGATATGTTTATTACGCTTTTCCCTGATGCTTTAAAGGCTTTTAAAAGAAGCTAGCAATCAACTATTTTCTTTTATCTGTGGAGGCTTTTTGGCTAATGCTAAAATACCACGTTAGACTATGCTAAACCAAGAAACCGCCCTCATGCTTACAAAACAGAAAAGCCAGCTTTTTT